TAGCCAAAGACGTTTGGGGTGTGATCGGAAGCGCGTACGTAGCTCGTTCTTCATATTCGTGTTCCGTGTTATCTGACTCGCACTGTAGATTGAGCGTGAGAGACGTGATGCTTGTAAGTGTTTTCGCGTTCTCAGCTTCTTGTGGGAATTAACGCGTTGAGTACCCAGGAAATGGAGAAGATGCAGGCTAAGGGCGAGCTGGGTGAAGAGGAGCTAAGAGCGCTTGAAATGGACGTGACTGGCAAGGTACGGGGATATTTATTCTGTTCCTTGCATCCTTTTGCCTGATTTGAGCACCTTAGATTATGCTGGCCTCATGGCGTGGAGCACGGCTGGAAGTGATACAAGTACTTCGCGAAGTACTTGATCATGTGTTGAAAGAACCAGGCGTCTCAGATAGTGTTATGTATAACCGTGCAAGAGTCGGTCGCGTTTCGTTCATACTTGTTACGTGTGCTGACACGCTCTTTTTAGGGACTACTTCTCATCGGAGCCGTTTTTAAGTCGACTGTTCCGGATGAGTCTGATGCGGAGCGCAGAGAGCTAGAAAGGATGGTAGCAGAGGCCGCCGCACCCAAACCGAAGCATAAGACTGCGAAATCCAAGCGGGAAGAGCTGATTAGGGCGAAAGAATTTGCGGAAAAGCAGGCGAAGGAAAAACCAGCGCCTTCCCCTGCCCCTGCTGCAGCTCCGGCACCTGAGCCTTCCGCTTCTGCGTGAGTATGATTATTGATTTACGTCTTTGCTATGTTCTCTAGAATAGGTTTTTCTTATCTTTCATGCCCGGGTATCTTAATGGAATCTAGTTATCTTTAAACCTTTCTGTGCTTCAGGAAGACTGGAGTACGACCTAGAAAAGTCTCCCTTTGGCGTTCATTGAATGCTCGGCTGAGGATGGGGTTTAGTGACAGGGCATATGTTACCTCTCGCGGACTGGCGAGCCGTCTTGCCGCCATCGACCGACGGTTTAGGTATCTTCTATGACACGTTTTTATCGTCAACGCGCCTTCGCTCCCGATATAAAAGGGCGCCCTCTTCTTATTCCCCGTCCCTTCTTTCCTTCCCTTCGCCAGCTACTCTGTTTGTCATTTAGCACTGTTCGCGAGTGACCTGCTCGTGGCTTTCTAATGCGACGCGTGCGTCGCTTGCTTTCTAACACAATACACTTTTGCATCCTACTTCTTTCATAGTTCCTCTCGCTCTCCTCATCCGCGCGAGTATCATGAGAGTTCGAACGAATGTCAGTATTCCGTGGCTCGCAAGACGGACTTAAGTCCTCGGTGCTCTTCGACAAGTAAATGCCTGAAAACGTGGTGTCAGGATGGCATTGTCACTGCCAGAGAATGAAATATGAGTCCTAATTTTTGTCTTTCGTCAAGGTCTATAAGAATTGGAACCTCCAAGTCAACTGCATATGTTGGATGTAACATGCTCACAACGGTGTGCTTCTGGCAGTCCAGATGATGCAATTTGCTTTTAGTTGTGAGGAGACTCACAGACTGCCGTCCGACACTATATCGGCGAGAAGAGTAAAGCAGCATTTTCTGCCCGATCTTTGATTATGCTGAACATCATGAACACGTCAATACTTGGGCAGACAGGCAATTTCCTCGGGTCTCTGCGTCTGGCTCTCTACCTAGGACAGGCTAACTAGAGAGCTCGACGCGATCTTTCCGAAACAGCCATCGTACGTTTCTCACGACGCGTCCTAATTTCAGCACAATATGAGAAATCATAGATGAAAGGATGCAGGAATTCGACGTGACAGTTGGTTTCCCATGCGTTCCAAAATACAGTCACTAATTAAACAAAGCAGCATATCATTGAAGGAGTCAATCCACCGATGTCAAAAATCAATCCATCAAAGTACACATACCTCATGGTGACCAATGCAACTGTCAGAATATCTTTCATTGATCAAACTACAGAAGCCTGGGTTCGGGATTTAAATTCTGCTTTGACCTGTGACGCATTCGCGTCAGTACCGCTTTCCAATAATAAGGTAGCGCTCACAGCTTTGAGGAATGCCTTATCCTGCAACGCTCGAAGTCCTGTCAGAGCAAGACCTTTGGTTACGGTCATTGTAGCTTCATGGGCTGCTATAGTTGCCGCAGCTTTGGCAAATGCAGGTGTGTGATTACCCCCTTTGGGTTCGGTCGGAATAGCTGAAGGAGAAATCAGCTGTTGATCGCAATAGAGAACATATCCTTACCATAGACTGGGTGAAGTGCGGGCAAGGCTATTGAGAGTAAGAAGTCCTTTCATGCCCGGCCTTTCAAACTGTAATTACTAACCGAATGAAACATTTCCCTGAAATGAAGAGAAGGCGGTCAGCAGGGAGAATCAACGGAGAAACGCAAGCCTCACAAAGTCGGTCGAGGCTGATGATCCATCTCCGTCTGATGATACCATACCATAGTTCCTCCCGACCTTGTCGGCGAATTCTTTTCCTGTAACAATCAGATGACCGACGTGAGCTTGACATTGATAATGGAAAGATTATCACTTGCCAAGAACACTATTCTGGAGGAGCTCATAGTAAGGGCTTGTGAAATTTATCTTGACTTTACATCCTGTTGCTAGGGCAGCTGCTCTGATCCCGAAAGAGTTGGACGCTATCAATCGGTGAATCGTAGTGAAATGCTTACTCAAAACAAGCCTTGACACGCTCAGCGAATTCACCTACTTCCCCATGAGTGGGTGCGCGGACGATCCAGGTCATATGAGCATAGTCAGGTATAACTGGGGTCCTGTATTCAGTGTCGACTACCCGCCTTAGACAGGTGATACATACTATTCGCAGTCCAATTCTTTCCACCTAGGATGCCGTGAATACGATGGTCAGGCTTTATCTGTTGTCGAAGGACGGAGATACTCGAGTACGCCAAGAAAGCGGCGTCGAGGGCATTGGTTCCTTCCCTGGAAGAGGGTTATGATATCTGGGGTCAGAATTTCGAGGACGGAGATGTCCTTACCATGGGGCAGCCCCCGCGTGTGCGCTAAAACACAAGTCAGCTGCAATGATTAGAAACAAAGTTAACGGGGCATTTGCCTGTGCCCAAAATATTCCACTTCTGCCTCTTGCAAGGCTGTCGTCGAGCCAAAATTAGCCGAGTTGGAAGGTCCGGGACCCGGATGACACCTGCGAGGTCCTCAATGAGGCTTGATTTAGGAAGACGAGACCTACTTACATGATGCAAAGATCCATATCTTTATATGCACCGCGTTCCAGCAGGATGATCTTACCACCCACACGTTCTTCGGCTGTTCCGGAAATCAGAAACCACTATTGATGTGAACTGGAATGCTAGATTGATTGCTTACCGGGCGTACCGAGAAGTATAATCTTTCCTGGGATGTTCAATGCTTCCAGGGTAGCCTTTACAGCGATGGCGACCCCACAACCGCTGATGGCGATAAGGTTGTGGCCGCAAGCATGGCCGATACCGCAGAGGCCATCCATTTCTTGAGGATGTGAGAACCATAAAAGTCAAAATAACCATCTGTATTCTTACCAGAGTTTATGCCGAGAGTGCTACCGCCTTTTCCATGCGTGTACTCGGCACGCCAGGCGGTATCCAGTCCCAGATAATGTCTGGTGACCTGAAAACCATGAGTCTCCATGTAGGCACAGAGAAGATCGTGGGCATATCTAGAGGAGAAATTTGAGAGCCGGTATAAGAGAGTCGGATTGTTTACCAACCGTTCTTCGAAACCGAGTTCTGGATGATCTAGATCATGTCCATGTCAGCGGGACAGGTGGTGGTAACCATATAGATACTTGCCGTGAATTTTCAAGCTAAGCTGACGAAGACTGGGACTGAGACTGTCGAGAGTTGGATTGACGATGTTGACGAACTCTTGACGCTGGAAGGGATCAAGCTCAGGTCCTTGTGGTGGAGAATAGGTCGGAACAGGATCCGTAATATCCCACCGCGTTGAGGGTGGTGCATACGAGTAGTCGCAGCAAAGGTTCAGACAGCCCTGTTTACATCCATTAATCGTTTGTGAGAATGATTACGGCTCTGACACTCGCCTTTGAACATCCAGTCTCTAGCTTTGAGGGCTCAGGACTGGCAGGTTGAGGTTGAGATTTATTCTTCCTGAAGAAATTACCGAAGCATCCAGCTTGAATATCGACCATGGTGGCGCGGAAGAACGGCAGCCGCAACGGCCCTGATAATGCATGCCACAGTTATATACAAAGAGTACCGGCTATGCACGTAAATGTAAAATTCGCTAAGCGATCGCTGACGTAGAGCTTCTGATCAAAAGTGCCTCGATCAACTCCAGTCTCCCCTGCCGCGAAGTTCGGACCTGAAATAAGCAGTTTCGCCCTCCGCCAACTTGATAGCTTGCTGTTGAAGATCCGCCTTGTATTCAGATCTACTCCAACAATCCATGTTATCATCATGCTATCATGCGCAGTCAATCGTGAGTCAATCGATATGATATGTTTTTCGAAAAGGGCTGGATGCCTCCCTCCCCGAAACTCTCCATGGCCGTAGGCGACGGACCGCTGGTGACCGGTGATGATTCCATCATCGAGTCTGAAGCTTTTGCCACGAATACCGGTGTACATAGCAGCGGACTTGCTTGACGGCCGGGCTCTTGCAACTTGACGAGTTTACAATCCGGAGAATTGTGAAACCTTACGGGAGGTTCTTGCCGTGCGCTCGAGACTGACGCCATGGACGAACTAATATGGCATCATTCTCGGACAGTCACAGCTTCGAACCTTGGAAGGTCACTAGCACTGTTCAGTGTTGAAGGGGGGCACTGTTCCAGATTGTTCCTAATACACAGTTCTGGGTGGAATGACAGTTGAAAGGCATCATGTAGCCGTGGCGCGAACTTTGGATAGTTTAAAATCTAAAGTGTCGAAATGTGAACACTGAACACTAAAGTTTGAACAATGAAGAACCCAGGGCCGCCCAACTGAGAACTCCAAGCGAACCAAACCTTCGACTCAAAAAGAAAAGAAATAACGAATGCACCACGGGCTTGACCGGGAATTGAACCCGGGACCTCCTCGAGTTAGTGCAACCCTAACAAGGAATCATACTACTAGACCATCAAGCCGATGCACGTGCTCAAGGAGAGCTACTCAGAACAAGATTATCCGCTGGATTCGCAAGAATTTGAAACACACGACAATACAGCTCTTACTCTCTTACGATCCGGGTCCTGGCGGGCCATGACATCCACTGTACAGTCGGCGCAGACCGATGTCTTGTCGCAGATTTTCCAAGGGCTCAAGAACAAGAGCCATGAAGTACGGCTTGAGTCTTCTGTCAACTTGCGTCGATATGTGAATTTCTCCGTTATTTCTGACGTTCTTGGAGGCTCATGCTCATGTCCAGGTTGCCACTACTGTTGCTGAGATGACGCCTGATGCTGCTGCGAAGCTGTGGGACGACAACATTAATCGAAGGCTTTTCGATCTTATGCATAGCCAGAATACAACGGAAAACTTTGGTGGACTATTGGCTATAGGCGCGTCATTGGCCATGATCGTTCTTGCGACGCGAACTAACACAACAATTAGATCATCTCCTTGAAATTACCAGTGGAGAAACTATCGAGTCCAAGCGCAACCTATTCCGATTTTACAACTATGTCAAACACCTCCTTCCCCACTCAGACGTCAACCTCATGTTGGTGGCGTCCAAGACCCTCGGACAGATAGCACATATTGGCGGTTCTGCCTTTGGGGATCGATTTATGGACTACGAGGTTCCCGCTGCAATTGAACTGATGCAGCCGGAGAAACAAGAATCCCCTCGATACGCTGGCGTCCTAATTTTGAAGGAGCTCGCCCGAAACAGCCCCGGATATTTCCATTCACACATAAGCCTTGTGTTTGAAAACATAGTCGTCGTTCTGCGAGATCAGCGCGTTATTGTCAGGGAGGGCGCTGCGGAGCTATTGGCAGCTTGCTTAGAAATTGTCGTACAGCGAGAGCGTCAAAGTCGGAACACCTATTTGAACGGAATTCTAATGGAGGCCCAGGCAGGATTGAGGATGCCACAGCCAGAAATTATACATGGCTCGCTACTTACGTACAGAGAACTTCTTCTCCATGCTGGGATGGTGCGTTTACTTATATTCTCTGTTGACGTCCTCAATTACGAGTGTCATTCAGTTTATGAAGGAAACTTTTATGGATACGGCGGAGAAAATTCTCCGATTCCGAACTCATCGAGACAGCCTCGTTCGCAAACAAGTTATTGCAATGATACCATCTCTAGCCGCTTATGATACGCAAACCTTCAAGGATAATTACCTCCATAAATCCATGAGTCATCTCTTAACCCAGCTCGAAAAGCCCCATGAGAGACAATTTGGTACGCTCAGGCATGGGTTATCGATGTCCGGTCGTCTGACCATTTTACAGCTTTCATTGCTATCGGACACACGGCCACTGCCATAGGCAGCGATATCAAACCGTTTTTGGACTCGATTATGACGCATATCAAAGCTGGATTACAGAACAGAGGGTAAGTCATAGACCTAACCTTCTGGAGCTAAGGTTCTGAGTGCGAATTAGGAGGAAGAACACGACATCAGAGGAGCCCATATTCCAATGCATCGGCATGCTGGCTGTTGCAGTGGGTCCTCATTTGACCAAGTTGCTGCATGACCAACTCGACCTCATGTTTGCCGCCGGACTTAGCGAGCCACTCTGTCAAGCGCTGGCGGCTATAGTGCATTACATTTCCCCTCTTCTGAGCACCATACAGGGTCTGTGTTACATTCATGTTATGTGCATACCCGCTTATGCTTTTGCAGATAAACTATTGGACTTGTTGTCCATGATTCTTAGTGGACAGCCGTACAAGCCCCTGGGTGCCCCGTCGACACTGGCTAGAAATGAAGTTTCCACCGTCAACAGAGAGCTAAATGCACAGGTGAGCTCAATGTCCACTTTCTCGCCAACAGTCGTTCACATACACTCAGGCTGCTGCCAACGACAAGAGCTCGGAGACAATCACACTGGCTCTCACAACGCTCGGCTCTTTTGACTTCACAGGTAAGCTTTGCGCCGCACGTTCTCCTCCCCGTGATCAAACTTCCTCCAGGGCACTTGTTGAATGAATTCGTTCGACAATGTGCGCTGCCGTATCTCGAGGACGATAACGCGGATGTACGGCGTGCCGCTGCTTTAACTTGCTGTCGTCTATTCGTGCGGGACCCTATTTGCTACCAGTCCAGTAGCCACGCCATCGAGATTATTAGCGACGTTTTGGATAAATTGTTGACGGTAGGCATAGCTGATCCAGGTGAATTTTCTTCAAACATACATGCCTGGTAGTTCTTGACCATCCTCCAGACCCGTCAATCAGGCAGACCGTACTTTCTTCCCTCCACGAGCGCTTTGACAAGCATCTAGCCCAAGCAGAAAATGTGCGGTCTTTGTTCATAGCCTTAAACGATGAAGAGTTCGAGAATCGTATAACTGCAGTCTCGTTGATCGGGCGACTCGCGAAGCACAATCCGGCGTATGTAGTTCCCTCGCTGCGTAAAGCACTTATTCAGCTTCTGACTGAGCTGGAATATACGACTGTCATGTAAGTCGTTCCCATTACTTGACAGTCTTTTGTGATTGAACATTTCACCAGTCGCAATCGCGAGGAATGTACCCGGCTACTTTCGCTGCTGATCAGTGCTACTCAGCGTCTTATCAAGCCCTACGCTATACCTATTCTAGTTGTCTTGTTGAAAAAAGCCAACGACTCCAATCCTGCGGCGGCATCCAATGTCTTGATGTGCTTGGGCGAGCTTGCATGCGTTGCGGGGGAAGAAACGATGGACCATATTGGAGATATCATGGAAGTTTTGACGGAGAAACTGTCTGATCCGGCACTCATCGAACGAGACGCTGCTCTTCACACTCTCGGACAAGTCTGCTCGAGCACCGGGTATGTCATTGACCCGCTTGTCGACTATCCGCAATTACTTCCGCTTCTGGGGAAGATCTTGAAGTCAGAAAGTTCGCAGGCTGTCCGACGGGAAGTAGTGAAAGTATTGGGTATTCTTGGAGCGGTTGATCCGTACAGACGGAAGGTAAGGCACTTTCCTCCTTCACCGTAATCATCTCACGGTTGCACAACAGGAGCAGGGAAGTCCAGTTGAAGACGCCTCTAGTGAAACGCTGATCACTGCGGTTAATCAAGTCCCCATAAACCAAACTCCGACCATGGTTACCGATGATTACTATCAAAATGTGGTCATCAACGCGTTGTTGGCTATTTTGAAAGACCAGTCACTCAGTACACATCATCACACGGCGATCGAAGCCGTCATGTCAATCTTCAAGACTCAGGGCCTGAAATGTGCATCGTTCTTACCGCAGGTACGCACAAGAACGAATATTTCCAATGTCCATGGCACTGACTTAACCTAGATCATTCCTGCGTTTGCGACAGTGACGAAGCACTCTGCTGCGCGCCTACAAGAATTCCACTTGCAACAGCTGACAATTTTGGTTGGCATCATCAAGCAGCATATACGTAACTATATGCAGATCATCTTCAACCTCATCAAAGACATATGGGAGAACGCTGCACTTCAGCTTCCAATCGTGTCCCTCATTGAAGCCTTGAGCAAGGCATTGAATGCTGAGTTCAAACCTTTCCTACCTTCTGTCCTTCCGCTGGTCCTGAAGGTATTCGACGGAGAGCTGAATGATAAAAGAACGAATACACAGATGAAGATCTTCGACGCCTTTCAAACTTTTGGTGCCAATATCGAGGAGTACCTCCATCTCATTATCCCTCTGATTGTTAAGTCTTATGACCGCCTGGATGGCACGATGCCCCTTCGCAAGAAAGCCATTCAGACCATCGATGGATTATCAAAGCGTGTCAATTTCTCCGACCATGCCTCACGGATAATTCTCCCTTTAGTTCGTGTATTGGAAGGTTCCCAAAATGAACTGCGGCTCGCGGTTATGGATACGTTATGTTCACTTTGCATTCAACTGGGTTCGGACTTTGCTATCTTCGTGCCCACTATCAACAAGGTTGGTGTTTCATTTCTACAGGTTACAGAAAGCATCAATTCGTGTGTTTCTATCAGGCTCTCGTTCGAAATCGCATCCCTCACGTCAAGTATGAGAACCTAATTACCAAACTTCTCAATGGAGAACAGTTGCCTCAGGAACCTGGGGTGCTAGAATTACTGTAGGTCTTGTGTTGGATTCTTCACGTTTTAACTTAACACGCTCTATAGCTCAATCGAGAACGCGAAGTCGGCCGAATTCTCTGTTCCTGCTGCCGAAGCTGCCAAGCTCACAGTGAACCAACAACATCTGAAGACCGCGTGGGATACTTCTCAGACTAGCACGCGGGACGACTGGCTTGATTGGATCCACCGCCTTACTGTCGAACTCATGAAGGAATCCCCGTCGCACGCTCTTCGTGCCTGTATGAGTCTTGTCGACATCCATACCCCTCTGGCCAAGGAATTGTTCAACCCGGCATTCTTGTCGTGCTGGGGAGAGCTTTACGATCAATACCAGGTTTGTCTTTTTTTTCACATAAGTGTCTTGATTAATCCAGGCACTCTTGCCAACAGGAGGATCTCGTGCGATCGGTCGAAACAGCCTTGACGTCAGGTACAGCACCTTCGGAATTGATACACCGTTTACTTGGACTCGCAGAATTTATGGAGCACGAAGAAAAACCTTTGCCTATAGAACACAAAATTCTAGGAGAGTGCGCATTGAAGAATTTGGCTTACGCGAAGGCTCTTCACTACAAGGAACTCGAATTCTTTTCTGAAGCGTCCCCCGCTACCATCGAGGCGCTCATCTCGATCAATACCCGTCTTCAGCAGCATGACGCGGCTTGGGGGACGCTGGTCATGGCTCACGAGCATTACGACGTTAGCAAACAAGAGGAATGGTACGAGAGGTTAGGAAGATGGCAAGAGGCGCTGAGTGTCTATGATCAGAAGGCAAAGCTGGATCCTTCTTCTGCTGATGTTCAAATTGGTCGAATGAAGTGTCTGCATGCATTGGGCGACTGGGATCAGTTGGCGACCCAGGTCGATGAGATTTGGGCCAATGCCAGCGCAGA